CCTTTAAAGTCCCTTATGGTAGAGAGCAGCTATGAAATGCCTTAGTTAAGTAGAAAATTTCAAAAGAGTGGCGATGACAGTAATTGGAATTGGGTAAAAAGAACAGGCATGGTTCGGTAATTCTAGAGGTTTGAATGCCATTTGAGGAGTTTTAGGGAGAAAAACTGTCGCTCACGGTGGGAAAGTATATGCGAGATAGGAGAGCCTGCTGCTGATAGTGTTTGAATCATGTCAGGAGGAGTCCTACGGAAACATTACTGAAGTGTCAAAGATGCGCCAGCGTACGCCCTTGCTGGTTATCAAGTCTGCCGACCAGGTGAGGAAAACAGAGGTTACTTAACTTTTTTCTGTAAATTTTTGACGCTGGATCCCCAAGTCGTCATCAGACTTGATAAGATCTGCAACGACCTATTAAAATTGCAGAATTGTTGGTAACTATATAGTAATTTGGTGTGAGCGCTAATTGGCAGCCACGATTAGCTTCCGACCATGGTGGACAAAATAAGTAGTACTACCCTAATTGCTAATTTCCAACTATAATTTGTGTCAGTCAGGGGTGGAAAATTAATAATCATGTGGTGTGGCGCTAATTAGCGGTTGTGGTTTACGTTCGTCCGTAGTGGTTGGCTGCCGTGTCTTCCATATTTTTTGAGATGCCTGTACACACCATGCAAGTCGATTTGTCGGTTGAGTCAGTTTAATTGTGACGAAAGTGCGATTCCCAAGTTTTATGTCAAGGAATAGGCAGAGGCCTTACCGGGAGAGGTTTATTTGGCGTTTGACGTCTCGAGCAATTACGACAACGATACGGCCCCACAGGCGGTATTGGAAGGCTACGCACCAGAGAAAAAAAGGACTACAGTGGGGCTCAGAATTCGTGCAACACTCCGATATTTGAGAAAGATTGGTATTCACTCGCTTATCGGCCTTGAGTACGGTTGTAATACTGAGTATCGTGTAGCCTATTCTCAAGTCATTTCCGTCACGGTAGAATGCCGGCTTTTAAAGGAGCTTTGTACTGACCGCTAACGAAATGTATGTACTGTAAAAATAGCTACTTAAGAAGTATGCATTTGTATCATTGCTTTTGACTGACTTTATAAATTCAAATATATATTATGGAAAACATGCACAAGAAATCATTTCTTGCACTCAGTTAGTAGTAAATTACGTCTTTATTTAGATTTTATACTTAAAGAAAGGGTATCGTTCGGTTAAAAAAGTTTCTAAATTGCCGAATAATATATACTTGAATTTATAAAGGCAGTCAAAATCAATGGTAAAAATGTATACTAACTAAGTAGTCACTTTTAACAATACATACGTTTTGATAGCGGTCAAAAAGAAGCTCGTTCAAAAGCCGGCACCCTATCGAGGCTGAAATAAATTGCGAATTGAGGCGAATGTACGCAGCCCAGGAACGTGAATATTTTGAGAAAAAGGAGAATTATCGAACACAGGAATTATTGTTTCATTAGCCTGAGCTTTTGAGCCCCTGCGGGAGCCCATCATTAGAGAAGGGAAAAGCGGCAAATGGGGGAGCTAGTTCTGGCATGTGCACAAAACAGCTAAAATTCGAGTATTCCCTAGAAATTTGAGAAAATCAATAATTGTGTCGTTTGGTCGTCGTCTCGCTAGTGGGCGAGATCGGCGTGGTGGGTGGGAATATTTAAGGAAGTAAAATCGTCAACGAAAACCAGCAATATTGAATAGGGAAAGGTCAACCATAAGTCATAGGGAAGGGGGGAGGGAGGGACAGGACCACCAGTTCCGTGGGTCTGGAGATACCTACACAGGGCAACATATGAGGGCGCCAGCTCGATGCATCGGTTAACTGAGTTGT